GCGCTCCCTCTCCCTGGAGTACCTGGACCTCTCCATGCCCTTCGAGCAGTACTCGCCTTCCTGTGAGGACACCGCCAGCTCCTGCTCCTCCGACGACTCCGTCTTCACCCACGACCCGCTGCCACTGGCTCCTCACCTCTTCTCCTACCCCAGCGTGAGGACTTAAGGGTGGGCAGGGAAGGGCAATGCCGAGGGCACCTCCGCTCTCGCAGGGAGCGGGTCCAGGTTCCCGCAGGTTCCCTGCTTTGCCTGGTGTGAGCGGTGGGCGGGCAGGGCCCCGAGCCGCAGTGCTAGGGCAGGGTGTCCCTCTCTCCGGGCTCCGTTTAGGCACTGAGCCTTCAGTCGTGGCTGAGACCTGCCTGGCATTGCAGGGCAGCAGGAGTTGAGTCTCTCCGGGGCGGGCACTGCCCGGGATGCCCATGGCATCACCCAGGGAGCTGGGCTTTGGCCAGTGCTTCGGTGGAAGTGTCTCTGGGCGGGAGCCCTGCTGCCTGCCGGGCTCCCACTGCCTCTGTACATAGCCATAGAGATGAATATTTATGTATGTGAAATATCGACCTGATAAATTATTTTTTTGGAATAGACCCCGGCGCAGTTTCTGGGCTGCTCCTGGGGGGCAAAGGGCCCAGCCGAGCTGCGAAGGCAGGTCAGGGGCTGCCTCCTCGCTGCCTTCTCACCCCAGCCGGCACGGGGGCCTGCAAGCGCTCCCAGGGGACACGGAGGCAGTGTCACAGGTGCAGGAAGCGATGTCCCCACTCCCGCGCCTCCAAGCCCGCTCCGGCACAAAGCACCCTCGCATCTGTTCCCCATTAGCCACTGCTGCGCTAAGCCACCGTGAACTCTGCTACCAGCATCGCCCTGAAACCGATCCCCCAACTGCCGCAGGCTCCCAGGCTGGGAAAGCGCTCTGGGGCCAGGCCCCATGCGCTGGGGACCCCCCACAGCCCCCCCCGCCTGGACCAGCCCTGGGACACCAGATAAAAGTGAGTTACGGGCTCTGCGCTGCCTCCCCGGAGCCCCAGCACCCCTGGGAGCACAGGCAGGGGGGCTCCAGCCCCAGGCCCTGCTCTCCAGT